ATGGGCTGAAGCTATCAACACTGCAGCTTACCTGATCAACCGTGGGCCCTCAGTTCCTTTGGATGGCGGAATACCAGAGGAAGCTTGGAGCAAAAAAGAAATAAACCTTTCACACTTAAGAGTGTTTAGTTGTATTTCTTATGTATACATAAACTCTGCTGAAAGAAGTAAACTTGATGCTAAGTCCAACAAATGCGTCTTTGTTGGTTACGGTGGTGATGAGTTCGGTTACCGGTTTTGGGACTACGAAAATCGAAAGATCATCAGAAGCAGAGACGTCATTTTCGATGAAAATGTGATGTACAAAGACAGGTCAACCGCAGAATCAAGTAATACCGAAGCTGAAACAAAGGAATTTGCTGAGTTCGAGGAGATTTCTGGAAATGATGTTCAGATCAGTCCTGAAGCAGTTCAAGAGGAAGAACCAGGCACACCAGAACTGAGACGCTCTTCCAGAATTCCTAAACCAACCCAACGGTATTCGCCTTCTTTGCACTACTTGTTGCTGATTGACAATGGTGAACCAGAGTGCTATGATGAAGCGATGCAGGTGGATGATTCAGTCAAGTGGGAGTCTTCCATGAAAGATGAGATGGACTCGCTTATGTCAAATCAGACGTGTGAATTAGCTGAATTACCACCAAGCAAGAAAGCGCTCCATAACAAGTGGATTTACAGGATCAAAGAAGAGCACGATGGGAGAAAACGCTACAAAGCAAGATTGGTTGTCAAAGGCTTTCAGCAAAAAGAAGGTATTGACTACAATGAAATTTTCTCTCCAGTCGTAAAATTGTCTACAATCAAACTGGTGTTGAAAATTGTAGCTGCATAGAATTTACATCTTGAGCAGTTAGATGTAAAGACAGCTTTCCTTCATGGTGATTTGGAGGAAGAAATCTATATGAGGCAGCCAGAAGGCTTCATAGAGGCAGGCAAGAAAAACTTGGTATGCAGGTTGAAGAAGAGCTTGTATGGTTTAAAACAAGCTCCTAGACAGTGGTACAAGAAGTTCGATAGTTTCATGAGTAGCAATGGTTTTACCAGATGCCAAGCAGATCATTGTTGCTACATCAAGAGGTTCGACAATAGCTTCATTATTTTATTGTTGTACGTTGATGACATGCTCGTTGCAGGATCAAACATGCAAGAGATTATACACTTGAAGCAAAAATTGTCGAAGCAGTTTGCTATGAAGGATCTGGGAGCTGCAAAGCAGATTCCTGGGATGAGGATCAAGAGAGACACAAAGTTAGGGACTTTGATGTTATCACAGGCTGAGTACATCAACAAAGTACTCTCCAGGTTCAACATGCAAGATGCTAAACCAGTAAGTACACCTTTAGGTGTTCATTTCAGACTCTCCAAAGACCAATCACCAAAGACGGAGGAAGAACGTGCACACATGGTGAAGGTGTCGTATGCCTCAGCAATTGGAAGTCTGATGTATGCCATGGTTTGTACTAGACCAGATATTGCTCATGCAGTGGGAGCTGTTAGCAGGTACATGAATAATCCAAGCAAGGTACACTGGGAAGCTGTCAAATGGATCCTCAGATATCTGCGGGGTACTACAAACAAAGCACTTTGTTTCAAAGGTGGAGATACGATACTGACAGGCTATGTAGATGCTGACTTAGCCGGAAATGTTGACATAAAAAGGAGCACTACAGGGTATGTCTATACTCTAGGAGGTACTGCAGTGAGTTGGGTTTCTCAACTACAGAAGATAGTTGCTCTCTCCACAACTGAAGCAGAATATGTCGCTGTTACGGAAGCCATCAAGGAGATGGTTTGGCTCCAAAGTTTCTTGGAAGAGTTAGGCAAGAAACAAGAAAACAATGTCTTGTATTGCGACAGTCAAAGTGCTATCCATCTAGCAAAGAATCTGTCTTTTCATTCCAGGACAAAGCACATACAATTGAGATATCATTTTATCAGGTCTCTTCTGGAAGATGGGATTTTGAAACTTGAAAAGATCAGTGGAGCTCAAAATCCGGCAGACATGTTGACAAAGACGGTGACTACAGACAAACTGAAGTTGTGTTTAACTTCAGTTGGCATGCTATAATAAAAGAACAGAAATACTGCTGCATCGATCGAGGTGTGAAGACAGATTAAAATCAGTCTTCAAGTGGGAGATTGTTGAAAGTAATCAAAGGTGGGACCCAGCTGAATTGTTTCTCAGCAGAATTTTCAAAATTGGGGGGGACACCGCACATTCTCATTCACAAAAGGGGCACCGAACCCCAATATTAAATTAAAATAAAAAATGGTTAAATCACACATTTAGCCACTGTATACTTTAGGGTATTTACATGATTAGTCCTAAGTTTCAACTATAAATACCCTAGCCCATTTAGCTTCAAAAACATCCCAAAACATTTCTTTCTTCCTATACTAGAGAGCTTTCTTGTGAGTAGTGAGTGTTTTGTAAACACCTGTAAATTTTCTCTCTTAGTAAAAGATCTGCAGCAGCCCGGAGACGTAAGCACAATTGGCTGAACTCCGTTATCAATTTTTGGGTATTATTTTTCCGCTTTTATTTTGCATTCTCACTAATCTGGTTATAGGGAAATTACTTGTACTCGGTTTATTTCCTAACAGTTGTAAGGCTGATTCTCTTCGATTCTGGTGGTCAATACAAGGCAGGATATTCCAACAATCTGAAGACTCCTTTTATTTCTGAAGAACCCTTTGCTTAAGAATCTGTCGAGCAAGCCAACGCCTAGGAAATTTGTCTCCAGCTGGAACTCCTTTGCAGTACATTGCCGCTTAAACAAAGATGATCATTAAACAAATAAAGAAATTATCGATCACCAAACGATCCAAACAAGAAAACATCAAATAGCCTTGGCCATTGGGAATCAAAGGAAAGCTAACTAACTGTTGATTCTTCAAGTAACAGACCACTCAAAACTTTCATGAACATCGTTAGAGGGAGTATGTCTTTTCATGCACCAAAAATGGTGATGTGTCGATTCAATTACACAGTGCTCGTGAAAAAACGTCATAGCACAGAACAATCCAAAACGTATTTTTTTTGTTTTGGTTCAAGGTTATTTTCAAAGGAAAAAGAAAAAAAACTGACCTCAGTGATCCACCGGATCATAAAAGAACGTTGCAGGAGAATAAGATCGCCGTAGTCGGTCGTTAATCGGTATTCCTCGGCATAATCATGCAAATAAACTTGTCTCTCTTTCCCTCAACCTTTTATAACTATCCTCGTCTTCTTCATTTTCAAATCTCACCAACTTAAAAAACCAAAAAAAAAATGAAAGAAGAAAATATCATTAAATTAATTCAAATATGATAATCAGCAAATATTACTGTAAAATGGATTTGAGTGGACTTATTACTGTAGAATTAATTTGAGGCTCGTCTTCAGCACGCGAAGCCAATTTAGGATCCAAATGAAAAGATGATCTAGAGAATTGTTGTTTGAACTCGAGAAAAAGAGAATAAGCGACTGAAGTAGGAGAATCATTGTTTGATTTCTCAGAGAATTAGCTACTGGAATCATAGGATAGTGAAGGAATGTAATCAGAGAAATCCAAATCCGAAGTTTCTGAGAAAAAATGGGATTGCAGCTCAGACAACACAGTCTTCTGACTCGATGAGCAATCAGATAGGAGTACGACTTCATCCAAAGAGAACTGTGAAATTAGCGTCCACAACAGCTTTTACATTCTCTTTGGTTGTACTGTCGATCTTCGAAGTTGAGGAGTATTCAAAGCCGGAAGTCACAGAAACGAGATCGTTTTCTTTATTATCCGACGAGAGTTTTGAGATTCCATGAGGAATCAGCTCAACGCCGTAAATATCCGATCGCGAAGTAGTCGTTCCAAGAGAAACCGAAACTGCATCATTTTTCTCAGCTTTCTCCAAAATTTCGCTTACCTTTTTCAACTTATAACTCCGTTCAACGAAAAAAAGAAAATCAGCACCGGAGTGGATTCAACGCAGGATGTATCACTCACTTCAGCTTCAGCTTCATTTCCTTTCGCTTCTCTTTCCTTCTTGGAATACGATCTCGTGATCCTCCTAAACTGAGAGTCTCCGATTCCTTCATTTCCTGAATTCTTCTCAGCTTTAGCTCCATATCCAACTTTGATTTCAGCGAACTTCCTCTTTTTCTTCTGATTTGAAACACTGCTTGAATCGCAAGAAACATCAGCAGAAGCGTCGAAGTTACAACAAGAACCGGAATCAACGGAGAAATCAATCGCTTGCTTTTGGAGAACAAATGGAGCGATCTGAGAACGCCTTCTCCGAGGTCTCTTGGAACGGAGTTTCTTCGTTATTAACGTCGAAGACGTCGCAGAGAGCGGCACTGCAGGTTCCGGTTCCATCATCGTTTTGTTCTTCGATGATTGGATCCTCAATTTCATTGCCAGTGATCTGATCTGATTCGATTTTCGATTTTTTTTATTTGAATGACAAGTTTTGTTTGGGAATATATGTTTGAATCAAGCCAAAGGTGCTGAAGGTGGAATTGAAGCTATTCGGTTATGGACGTTGCGGAGCCAAATGGAACTAGGACGATCTAGTGCGTGTGACGGCTATTTTATATGCTGCGCGCGACTTTACATTAGCACCCGTGCACGCATTTGTGCTATTGTTTCACGTCCATGCTTTAATGAGCGTTTAGCTCGAAATTCCTTCGTTTTCCCTTCTTTTCGTATATTTTTTATAGGTAAAACTATATTATTAGTCTCTGTACCATATGAATTTAATTTTAATATTTTAAAAAATTAATTTTGACCCAAATAAAATATAAATAATATGATTAAATCATGAATAATTAAAATAATTAAATTTACAATTCCAGCATAATACATTATCTAATAGCATAGTCTAATTTAATTAATTTTTTAGACTTCAGGTTCTACAAAATATGAAAACGGTGAATCATCAATGTGTTTAAATTTATAATTTAAAAAAATGATTATTACCATAAAATATAACTCAAAATAATATTAATTATACAAAGGATTGTGAGGTTTAACAAATTGTAGACCCTATGATGTATCTGCTGCATGAGCTCGAAACTATGGGATTTTTCCAAATGAGCTTTCATCATCATTATTCGCCGGAAAATCAGTCGGTAAAAGAAGCTTTTCCCACGCACCGAAGTCGTGTAAATCCGGCTGCTGAACGAGAGGCATCTGGCTATCATCCATAAGTGCTTCAACAAAATCAACGTCCATCCAAAAATCTTTCATTCCATCCGATGAACTATCGGATTCACGATGATTTTCGGATTCTATTATCGGTGCCAATAAAGGCGGAGCACCGATCGTCGGTGGCTGATACTGTACTATCATATGATCCGATGCCACTGGTTCAGCATCCTCAGTAACTTGTTCTAGCATATTGTTCACTTCAGCCATGCGCCAATTACTTTCCTTCGGTTGAATCAGTTGGACCAAAAATCCTGGGCTTTGCATTGCCATTATTAAGAATGACAACAACTGCTGCTGACTTTCCTCCATTCCTTGAAGACGATCGTTCAAGAGAAGCAACTTATTGTCAGCAATCTGCTGGTACTGCCCGAGTTTAACCAACTCCTGCGTAAGAGCGTTCTTATCGGTCTTCAAATTCTCAACTTCCTTCCACAGCCTAATATTTTTGGTATTTTCACAAGATTCAACTGAGTTCTCCGGCTGCTGCTGCTGCAATGATTTATGCTGCTCAGACCCCTGGGAGTACTTCCGTCTAACTATATTCTTCAGCAAGTCTTTCTGACCTCTGATAAATCCGTCATTTGCAAATTCCCAACGATCGGGATCGGTTTTTCTAAAACCCTGAAAAAAAAAAGAACTGCAAGTGTTACTTCATATCAATGTCTTGAATATGGTTAGTTCAAATGCCATACAGACATATATAGACATGAAAATTACACAAATAAAGATTATATAAATGCTCACCAAATCGAACTGTTTCACTTCTATCATGAGTAAATCTATCGGCAACTAATAAGATTTCTGGTTTGCTAATCGATTAATATTGTCATTTCGGTTGACCCTAAGTTCTTCTTGAGTTCCGTCTTCTTTCCCATTCGAATTTCAGTAATAATTTACTGTTTTATTACTGATTTCCTTCTTAACCACATCATATTGGCTAAACATGCCTCTAGTTATACAATGATACTATATCACCCTATGTTGTTCTGAATCTTCAATTTTCTTAAATATCCGTGTCCGACACTCGTGCCCGACACAAATCTGAAACACACAACTCTCCGAGAACCCTCCAACTACATAGAAAATATTTATAAAAAAAAAGTTGAAATCATGCCCAAATCCAACACCCCAGGCCAACTAATAAAGGCATAGGCTCATGTATGATATAGGAGTTAACCTGTCTAATCTGTTTAGAGACAGCATAAAACATGTAAATTTAGCATTATATGCGCTTGCAACTCTTTGAAATGTAAAATTATTGCCTTAGCAAAATTTCGCACAAACAGCAAAACTATTTCGGAATCAGCCCTAATGAAGCTTGAACTACGGGAAAAATCCGAATTCCAGAAGCAAGTGCATTATGCATGACAGAATACATGAGCAAATCGAGAGCAAGTTGATTGTTGATCGCAATGATGAAAATTGCCAGCCAAAAATAACGAGGTATGAAAAAAATTCATTAATCAACCAAAGCTCAGCCTATATGTCCAGACCTTTTCTTTCTTATTCGATATATTTAACTAGTGAAAAGGCACTCGAACTAAGGGATATTTTATCAATCAAGAACTTCAACAACAACGAGAGAAATTGAGGCGGGAAAACTTCAATAAACAAATCGTTTCGTTCTGCTAAAACAAATAAGCAACAAATGGAGTAGGAAAACACGAGACGGGGCATGTAATCCGATAAATTCCAACAACATTATCCAAAATTTAAGCAAAAGGGTATTCAACAACATTTAGACAGAGCTCATTCTTACAAGAGTGATATTGGCCATGAATGACACTGAAGTCCTTATCAAGAATGCATAATATGGATTATACTTAATCACCAATTTCTCTTAAAATTATCACTCTAAAACTCGTGAATCGCACATCGGGGTGTTTCATAGATGTATTCATGCTAACAGTTAGCCCAAGATATTTTTAAAAACAGTATAAAAATCATAAAGATGTACCGGCAAGAAGTTTCGAGTGCAGCTGGAAGCTAAATACAAGCTATTTTAACCCTGAATTAGGCATGCAATATCAGGGTCCAAAGCAAATAGTTCTCCCCTTTGGAACCAACAAGGAATTTTACACTGCGATTAGGATTAAACCGAAACATCCCCATAAAAACAAAAGAATCCATCTTACAAAACTCAGTTATAGACATGCTTTGTTTGGCCTAACATAACAATTAAAGGAGTTAATCAAGTCAAGCCAAGTATCAAATAAACAATATATTTGCTCTTTGAAATCTAATCATTCAATCAAAACTGGTACTGGCTCCACTATTACAAGAACATTGAGCAAAATTCACCTGACTGCTAGCATAAATTCCCTTCCCCGTCATTGCTAGATATTAAAAAAATCTATTAAGCCCCATCAGTTAGAATATGGCAATCAAGAAAAGGACAACTCAGAGCAACTAATAAAGCAATATTAACAAAATCCCAAATATTCAGAACAACAAAATTCCAGCACAGATACAACAAAGAACCCAATTCAAAACTTCCAAAACGCAACCAGTTTTGACATGTTTTATTACAGAAAATAATACCAATTAAAAAGGATGAAGAAGAAGAAGAAGACTCACGTAGATATTGAGTTGCCTGATGAAAGAAGAGAAGTTGCTGTGCTTGAAATACTGAGGAAGGAAACGAACTGAAAATTCAGTAATATCCCAAATGATAAAGCCATCGTTATTTTGGTTCCATGAAATTATTGAATCCGTCGCCTCATCGTCTACCATCTCAAAACATTTTCTTAGAAAAGGGGCTATAGACTGACCCCTATTTTCACTCGATTTCACCATAACTGGACTTCGACAAAGGAAAAAAGAAAAAACAAATAAAAACCAGTCCGATGGTCAAATTGAATCAAATTATACTCTATTTAATAAAGAAAACGAGAAGGGTGTGATAAGAAGTTTGGAATATGCCGTGGGGAAAAAGAAAATGTTTTTTCTTTTGAAGAAAACTTGTTTTTAATGTACGACCAATCACGAGTCATTTGCATTTCTTTTTGTCGAAGAAATTGGAAGGGAAAGCCAAGTTGCTTTCTTTGTTGTGTTTTGCAATTTACATTTACCGCGAGAAAAGGTCGGTTCAAATCTTACTCTTTTTCGCTTAGACTTTAGATGGTTTAATAATTTAAGTGGACTGGCCCCTTCTTTTTTATTAAAATATTAAAACAATAAAAATAATTTTAAAAAAGACAATACATTTTTATAGTGATTAAATTATATCTTAAAATATGATTTAGTGTTTAAAGAATTTTTTATTAAAAATATGTGTCTAACTTTTTTGATGTTACACATTTAACGTTTAGGTGCCTCGACTATAAAATTTAGCCATTATTTAACATATATCATGCATATAAAGTTTTAAAAATTATGTTATTTAAAAATACTCAATATTATAATTTAAAAACAAAAAACCCTCAATTTACATCTTTCACCGTCGATCCTTGATTGTCACCGTTGACATCATCAGAATCATCTCGTAATCGCTATCAAAACTCAATCTCCCCCCACCGTAAAACTGTACTGATCATTGTGAAAAATGCACAAAAGATTTAGGATTTCTAAGTTTTTCGTTGTTATTTTTCGACGATTTCAACTTACTACAACCATCTATACATTACACGATCGCACCCATTAAATACCTCTTCCTACTCAAAACAAAACCCAACCTACGGTGGTTGCCGTCGACAGTGAAGGGATGGGAGGAAGAGAGACAACGCAGAGGATTAATTTTTTAAATTTTTTTCTTTATTTTTTAAAAATAATATTTTTATTATAAAATAATAACGATAAACAACCAAAAGTTTTAAAAAAATACATATAATAGTATGCACCTAAAATTATAACAGAAAAAACATTAAACAACTATTATTAGCAAAAAATTCTTTAAACATCCTATCGTATTTTGAAGTATAGTTTAAACACTAAAAAATGTATTAAACCTTCTGAAAAAATAACACATATTTCAAATTATTTTTTGAATTGACATCTTTTGGTAGCGTAAGATAAGTGTATGTTATATTAGACGCGCTTTCAAATGACCATCATGTAAGATGTTCTTTTTGCCTATACAGCCATATATGGTAATAAAAGTCTAGTCAAATGTTGGGCCAAAATAAAAAAGAAAGAAAAAAAGATAAAAAAAAAATATGAAGAAAGAAATATGCAAATTTTATCAAATAAATAAAAATGTTGAAGACACGTATTTACACGAGAACAATCCTATAATCTTATAACATTTTTATCAACATCCGAACACGATACAATTACACTGTACACATACAATTACTCGAACTCGATAACACATATAAATATGCCAACATTTATAGAATATAAATAATTAAACACACATATATACACAGTATGCACACCTATACGATCATGAAAAACAAGCTCGATGCAGAGACACAGATTATCAGTTCTAACCTTTATGCATCATTGTTAAGATCTTCACCCTTTTTGCCTTTAGAATGCAGTTTGATGCCATCAAGGAAGATTAAATATTAAAATATTATCTGAACAAAGTTTCCCTAATGCAGAGAAAAATATACTTTTAGAAGTCAAAAACATCAAGCACCAAGAAACAAAACCCTAGTTTATGCTACGAAAAAGATGCTCAAAGTTTTGTTCAACTTGTCAAAAAAGATGATAAAAATTTGTGTTTGAATACTAAAATTAAATGAACTCAACACAAGTGAATTCAAATCTAGTTTGCTTGAATGAGTTTACCCCGGGCCAGATCATAAGAGCAACTCGGCGATCTGAACGGCGTTGAGCGCCGCTCCCTTGCGTACTTGGTCACCACAGACAAAGATGTCCAACCTATTATGGAAGTTTATATTTTGCATGAATATGATCTAAAATGGAATTTAGAAAAAGAAAGTGTAGGAAAATGAGAAAAATTACCCATGGTTGCCTTCTTGAGACACATCCTGGCGAATCCGGCCAACTGCAACGTCATCTTTGTTTGATACCTCCAATGGGGTAGGGAAGCGATTAGAAGTCCGATCATCAATAACTACTACCCCAGGAGCAGTTTTCAAAATCTCTCTTGCCGTGTCCTGATAAAAAAATTACCAAATAAAGAGTCGAGATAAAACCGAAGCTACATCTATCATGAAGAAGATTTTTAGGCCAGAAAACAGAATATCAATAACTATATTCCCGCATCGGTAAACAAATGGATAGACATCAATCCAAAAACTGGATGATATAGACAACTACGATTGGGGATGATATAAATCGAGGTCCAAGGGTGTTTAGTACTGTACGTTCTTATCCAAACCAATACACTACAAGACCATACTTGAACATAGTTTTCCCCAAGAATGTGGCTTGAAAGTATACATAAAATATTTCTACAATTTCCAAATTTCCTTGTTCTAATCGTAAAAGTTGAACAAAACCAACTTTAAATCTAAATTCTTTCAAAATTATTAAAATGATGATAAAAAAAATTGGCAACAAGCTCATAAATACAAGTAAAATGGGGAGAAATCCTAAATCCCATTGCCTACTTTTTCTAAAAAGAGAGCTTCAAAACTTGAAAGATGATGCAATGCATGTAAAAGCATATTGACTAGCTGAAATGAAAAGTATAACTGAAATGTCTGTGGCTTTTTTATATTACTTTTATTTAACAGACAATAAAATTGTAAATCTACAATTTATTAAAATATTACCTCATCAAGGGGCTTCTCAAACTGAAGATTCACACTCTCAGCGTGAGCACGCATCACAGGTACTCGAATGCACGTAGCAGTGACTTTAACATTCATGTCATTCTGAGAAAGAAAGGGAAGGTCAATCATGAAAATCAAAACATGCTTCTCTTTTTATGACTTTCCTTCAGAATTGAAAATTCAAGGGCAAAGGGTGTATTCCGTATGATTTTATACAGACAGAACACTAACTACTTACCCAGATTTTCCTCGTCTCTTTGACCATTTTCATTTCCTCTTCATTATATCCATTCTCGAGAACCGGAGCATTATGCGAGAACAAGTTAAAAGCATACTGCATGCGTACAAGATACAAGATATCTGGCATGACAAAAAGATGTTCCGAAATTTACAGATAATGTAAGAGAAATATACATACATACTTGTTGCTTAAAGATATTACAAGTTGGTGGTTTCCCTTCCAAGACCTAAAATAATGCGGCAATGAATCAATTTAGAAGAAAAAAAAATAGTCGAACTCTCATATAAAAATGAAACAATAAAACAAAAAAGAAGGGGAAAAGAAACCGAATAAAATAACCTCACGGGTCTGTAGCTCAAGTTCATGCATAGCAGCAGCAGCAGCACCAGCACCACTAGCTGCCTGATATGTACTGACCACCATACGAGTAACCTGCAACATGTCACGAGTAGAATCAATATTTGAACCATAAATTCTCAAGTATCGGACCAGATGTTCAAGTTTCTTCATGAGACTCTGAATACTGAACAATAGATATCCTACCCCAAAGACTCAAAACATATGCCTTTCTTTTTCAATATCTCATATAAATTTCAAAATCGACACAAAGCTACATTCGTACTAATAGAAGCTGTCATTATTCATTTCTTACCTAGTATCTTTTCCAATCAATCACTTATTCATCTTCAAACTCACTATGCCAATGATTTCATAGTAAAATTTACAAACAATCCCTAAATTCATGTTTTAAATTGTCTCCAAAACAACCTATGTTACTCCGACTCAGAGTGTCGGATCGAGTATGTTACTCAGAATCTCCAAACTATTTATAACAGCAACTTTAAATCATCATCCATAAAATCCAAAAGGCAGCACCAAACAAACAATGCAAAGCTAAATTCTACAATTAATCTAACAATCAAACGCTTAAATATTTATAAAGCCAATAACCCTCCAAAAAATGGAAACTTGTTTAACTTATACCTTAGCATGTCGATGAAGAGGAGTAGCAGCCATTAAGCAGATAATGGTAGAACAGTTTGGGTTTGCTATCAAAGCACCCTTTTTCGTACCAACTTTAATCCCATCCATTGCTTCCGGGTTCACTTCCGGGATAACTAAAGGTACTCCATCAACCATTCGAAACGCCGAGCTGTTATCGACCACAATGGCGCCTTTATCGACCGCAATGGGACCGAACTGTTTACTTATCGACCCACCGGCACTAAAAAGCGCGATGTAGACATCGTGGAAGCTTTCGGCGGTGAGTTCCTGGACGGTAAAGGTGCGGTCTTGGAAGGAAATGGACTTCCCAGAGGAGCGTTTGGAGGCGAGGAGCTTGAGGGAACGGTAAGGGAAGTCACGGTCGGAGAGGACGGAGAGGAATTCTTGGCCTACGGCGCCGGTGACGCCTACGACGGCGACGGATGGGCCTGACTCTTGGAGAGACATGCGGACCGTGGTGGGGTATTTTGTGGTTCGGAGTTCGGGTTTTGGGGTGGAAAGGAAATGGGGCTTGAGAGAGTGGCTGAGAGATGCCATTGTGAGCTTAAGGAAGAAGAGAGATGGCAAGGAGTCGTTGGCAAGGCGGAGAAGAAAGGGATGGCGGCGGCGGGTATTGTGATTGTCTCTATGGTGACTGCTGGTTCTGATTGGGTGTCCTTTTTGTTATTATTATTATATTTTAGGGTAAACTACGCATTTAGTATATAAACTTTCAATTGTTTTAAAACTATACATAACATTTAGTTTTTGTTTCATTTTAATATTTACCGTAAAAAATTTAACGCATTTAGTACCTAGTTATCAGTTTTAGTCTGTTTTAATACATAACTATTGTGTTTAGTCGAACCAGCATACTGATGGAGAGAACCCTGGGAATTATGAAGAGAAAGTAAAATCATACCTCATCGAGATCATTTTCACTTCATTTGTAATAAGCACTAATAAAGAAATGACATCCAGCTCAGTTGGTAGAGCACAATGCTCTTAATTTTGGGGTCGTGGGATCGAGTCCTACGGAGGACATTTCATAATTCGGAGGTTTCCTATGGAAGCTGCTCTCAACCTAGTGTTGGGGGCCAGCCTATTATCCTACCTCCCCTTTACCTCATTCAATATGGGAATAAGAGTTAGCTAATTTTTTTTGTAATAAGCACTAATAAGACAGACAACATATCCCAGTCTTATTCAATCGTATAAAAAATGAACAAAGCAACTCCTTATAACTCGCAAGCTCACGAAAGGTATTAATGAACTTGGACATAATCGGCCCTACAAAAGGAAACATTTAAAAAAGAATAAGGTACAATCTTCAATATTTCAGCAAAACTCCTTATAGCTCGCAAGCTCACGAAAGGTATTGATGAACTTGGACATAATCGGCCCTACAAAACAACAACAACAACAAAACCCAATTCCCATATGTAATGGGGTAAGGGGGAGGTAGGGTAGTAGGCTGCCCCCAACGTCAGGTTGAGAGTAACTTCCGTTGAAGACCTCCGGCAGTCAAATCGGCCCTACAAAAGGAAACATTTAATAAAGAATAAGGTAGAATCTTCAATCTTTCAGCAAGGCAATTCTATCTTCAACAGAGCAAATCAGGCACAGAATTTTCTCCTCCATTTTACATCATAATCTTTGATAAGCAAATTTGCCTAAAGGCACGACAAAGGAGGCCAAACATTGATTCAAACGAATATAGAGGCATACATAAAGAAATATATAACCAAAGAAATAAAAATAAAGCATTAACTAAAAATTCTCCACCTCGTTGTACAAAAAAAGAAGAAAAATCTCACATTCATCAAACAAGCAAGCTAGTTACCTAACACACATTTTCGTCCTACTACGATTCAAACTCCTAAAAATAGGATAGAATTTTGCTAGGATTCAAATTCTTAAAAATAGGATAGAGTTCTACTATTATTTAAACTCCTAAAGATAGGATCCACAAGCACTATAAATAGCCATTGTAACTCACTATTGTAGGACAGGATTTACACACAAAACACAGATGAAAGCACGGAAAATACAAAGGCAAAGCTATTGTAAACGATTCGAAAAAGAAATAAAATGTAGCATTTTTTTTGCATGTGCACGTTATTTTTCTTGAGATTTAGTTCGAATAACCTAAAACGTAGGTTGCGCCGATGACCAAAAAGGGGTGAGGTTTCGAAGTTTCGAACCTAGATCTACTCCCGAGGCATATTCATTTTTTTTAGTATTTAATATTCCCCCGATTACTTCGAAATTTGACCCCTAATTTTTTTTGTTCCAATTTAATCCCTTCATGTTTTAATTCATTTTCTTGATTTCGCTTTTTTTTACCTATTATACTATATTTTATTTGTTATTACTTTCACTAACAATTATATCTATATATATTTTATATATTATTATTTGTTTCCTCCTCTTCTTTTTTATTCGTATATATATTATGTACATATAACTACATATATGTATTTTAGTGTTTCATTCTAACATCTATTTACGTATATTACCTTTTATCATTATTATATATATTATATTTATTGCTTCATTTTCTTTATGTGTATTTTATTTATTTATTTATATATATTACCTTTTTTATTTTATATTTATACTATTATTTACTATCATTTTTCTATGTTTTATTTATTTATTTATTATTTTATTTTATTTCTTTTTATTTTGGTTGAATTTATTTATTTATTTTATTTATTATTATTTTTTTTTATATCTAACATGTTTCTCAACTCTTTAAGGGTACATTTTCAATCTAACATAGGTAAGTTTTGGATCGTTATTTTTACCTTTTAATTTAAAATTACAATTTTCTTAATTAAGACAACTGAAAATTACGTAGTACCGAAAGGGCGGTTCAAGGGTGCTAATCCTTCCTTGACCGTAACCGACTCCCGAGCCCGACATATTTCTGGAAAGACGCAGATCAGGTAAGAAATAAGGTATCCGATCAACCCATTTATTTTTAAATAAATGATCGGTGGCGACTCCAATCCATTTTCCTAAGTCGAAGCCCAATTCTGGGGCCCAACCGAAAGACGGTTGCGACAGCTTGGCGACTCCGCTGGGGACCAGGTAAGTGAGTCAGGCTAAGGTAATTTCCAGTTGTCTTTTTAACGAAAAGGGTAAGTTAAATTTTAAGGTAATATTCCGATCTTTTTACTTACTTTGATTATATTTCGAGTAAATAGTTGGACTAATCGTTTTCTCATGATTTCAGCCTTCAAAGTTTTTTTTTCATCTAAGGCTCTATACCCGAGCTCCAATTCCTTTTAAGTGGGGGTGAAAGCGACGCCTTTGTGTGAATTTATTCACCGTGTGGGCCTAGCAAGTAGCCTTCGGGATACATATACCTTATGCCTTCGTGTGAATTTATTCTCTGTGTGGGCATAAGGGAATGTTTCCTCTCGAGTTTAACTTAGTCCACACAAACCTGTGATGGGTTTAGGACTAAGGGCCTGGCAAGCCCAAGGGGGCACCAGCAAGGAGAACTCGGGTACCATTTTTTTAGAACCTAAACCGGGAGACGATGGAGAATTAGAACCCACCCCAAAACCTCATTCCAAACCTTAGGCTGCTTTGATTTTATTTCATGCCTTACTTTCTGTTCAAAGCATGCGAACTAGACAAATATGCGGTTAGGATTTGTTTGAGATTAGCATGCGGGATAGAGATCATGTCCGGGTAGGAATAATAAGCATGTGGGGTAGATATCATGTGGGGTAGGACTTTCATTTTTATGATCATTTTTGATTATTTTTTTCACCTCACTAACTCTTTTCATCTTTCTTTTATTTTATTTTATTTTATTTTCATCACTTGCATCATAAAAGAGGTCATTGATCCACTAAAACGTGTTTGTTAAAACTCGAATAATCTGAATCCATGGACAAAGGTGTTGTAATACAAGAGATTAAAAACCCCGAGGTACGACTATGGTCCGAGAAGACTCAGAAGGAAAATGGAGACAGTCTTCAAGGAAGCTATGTGTCAGAGCTAGTTAGCTACGCCTATATCAGCCTAAAACAAAATAATGTGCAAGAACTTCGAGACATCTGAGATAGTTGGAAGAATGATCGGAAACAGAAGTTCAGTCAGCGGTATGGTGACATTGCACTTTTGCTTCATGTTAAGACCGATGAGCCCTTAATCAGAGTCTTGGTTCAATTTTGGAACCTGGGATACAGTTGCTTCACTTTTAACCAGGAGGACATGGTACCTACCATCGAGGAGTATACTACACTATTGCACAGTGAAAGCATTAAACTGGAGCGAGCCTACATCAAACACATCAAGAGTCAGCCTTTCAAGAACGGACTGGCTAAGATTGCAGGAGTTGATGAAAAATGGGTGACTGACCGACTCCGAAACAAAGGTAACGGGCAAGGAATTGAGTGGATCCACATAAGGGAACTAATGAAGGACCACCCTGATGAATGGAAGACTATAGACCTTTTTGCACTAGGTCTGTATGGCTTGATCATCTTTCCGAAGGTTTTGGGATGCATTGACGCAGCCGTGGTGGAACTGTTTGAGCAACTTCCGAAACGAGTCAACCCAGCACCGACTATCTCAGCCGAGACCTTTTGGTCTCTCAACCATTGCCGAAGAGCTGGCGGAGGTAGATTCATTGGATGTGTTCAGTTCCTTCAAGTCTGGATTTACATCCACTTCTGAAAGACTAATGGGGTTACCTACTGTAGATTTAGCACTACGTATTCACCTTTGAGAGAGTTCATCACCATGACAGGACATGAAGGCGCTTCAAAAGAGAAATGGATGAAAGTCTTCACTCATCTTCAGGACCGGGATATTACCTGGAGAGCCCCCTGGTTGTTCCTTAGTGATGTTCTTTTCAAGTGTGGGAATTCTGACACTATGACCCTATTTGGACTTTGAGGTGCAGTTGGGTATGCTCCGCTGTTGGCACTTAGACAGTATAGGGCACATCAGTTTGTCCCAGCAACATATGGATTATCTATATCATAGTTTATGTATCACGGTGACAGTTATAAGAAGATGATCAAAGAAGCAGTCGAGTCATGGAAGAAAGTATCTCGGATGGATGTCTAGAAGATTTAGTCCGAACATACCTTTTATTGTTTTTATGTCTCTTACAAGATAAAATATTTTTGTCTGAATAAGGATTATTTATAATAATGGACACTTTTCTGGATCAATGCCTCGAACATTTAATGCCTCGAACATTTCATGCATTCTTGCATTTTGTATTTTTGCCTTTTTGCATTTTCATCTACATTTTAAGCATTTTCACAAACATGAAATTAAGTCGTGAAGGGCTCGATGAAGCGAATTTAACCACATGGAAGCAAGATTGTAACAGTAGGAGCCTGATCAGCTGATTGTAGGACAAAGCTTGCCATGATGATCTAAGAAAAGAATCCTCATATCCTAAGGGCCACGATGTTGAAGCTGCTAGCTGTTACCATGTAAGAAGCCCCAAACATTCCTCTGAAACCTGTAAGGCGCTTGCCGAAGAAGGGGGCATGGCATATACCATTTGCACTTAGAGGATTGTTTTGTTTGAACACGTCTTTGATCTTTCGCTTAATCTGTTAAACGATTGAATTTATGCTACTTTCTAAGGTGGAGCA